GATCCCAGGACCCTGGGATCATGACCTGAGCCGAAGGCAGACGCTTAACGACTGAGCCGCCCAGGTGCCCCTAAGTAATTTTTAAAAAGATTTTATTTATTCATTTATTTAGAGAGAGAGCACACAGGAGCAGGGGGAGGGGCAGAAGGAGAGAGAGAGAGAAACTCAAGCAGACCCCATGCTGAGCGTGGAGCCTGATGCAGGGCTCGACCTCGAGACCCTGAGATCATGACCCAGGCTGAAATCAAGAGTCGACAGCCCAACCAACTGAGCCACCCAATTGCTCCAGTACTTTAGGTAATCTCTACACCAAACGTGGGACTTGAACTTGCAACGTGGAGATCAAGAATCGCATGCTCCACTGACTGAGCCAGCCAGGTACCGCTAACTATACATTTTATGTAATTTTCTCTATCTGTATTATATTTTACAACAAGAGGGTTTCTGATTTTTGCAACTGGTAATTTCTGAAGTTTTATTGGTTTTCCACAATTCATTGGTTGAGTTTCCATATTCTCCTGAGAGCAGAGTTTTTTGTTTGTGTGTTTGTTTTTTTAATTTACTTATTTAAGTAATTGCTATACCCAATGTGGAGCTTGAACCTGCAACCCTGAGATCAAGAGTCCCATGCTCTTTTGACTGAGACAGCCAGGCGCCCCTGAGAGCAGGTTTGGATAAAGAAAGAGGAATATGCAGGGAGGGGAGGCTGAAGAGGGAGGCCATTCATGGGGAATAGAAAGATTAAGGGGGCATCAAAATTTAAATGGTGCTGACTTCACGTTTTATTTAATAGAGCCCCTGTCTTCCTCTCCCATTTCTACTCCCCTAACATCATCATGTCCTTAGTTTTCCACGCTTCCCCCTTACATTCCTCACTCCTTCTACACTCCAGGATTATGGACGCTTTGCCTCTACTGCCTCACCTAATTGCTGCCAAACTTCCTTCCCTTCTGCGGGGGGTTCAGTGGGGGTATTATCATTCCTCCTGGATTTTCTGGGAGAGTTCAGATCTTAAATATTCTTTTTCAGTGTTTTCATAAACATACCAATCCTCCCCAGATCATGTGTTCTGATTTTGGGGGGCAGGCACTAGGGAGACCTTCACAAGGTTAGAATGGCTCCAAAGAGTGACTTAGAAGACATCCCTGCTGCAGGGCGATCCTTAGATCCAGGGAGGGAGCAGACAGACGGGGGTGGGGGTGGGGGGTGGTACAGGAACTGTCCATGTGGTTTGGTTGTTCTTATTTCCATAATGATCCTGGCCCTCCCCCACTGTTGTCTATTATTAACAGACCCAGAAACTTGATCAGGGCAGCAGCAGCAGAGGGATTTTCTGGGAACCATGCCCAGGGAAGGCCCAGAAGCCCTACATTGAAATGAAGGGGCAGCCGGCAAGGAGGGAGACCTAAACACTGTCCTCTTCCACGGCCACGCAAACCTAGACGTTCCTCCTTATACACAGTGGAGATGCCCTAAATATCTTGCTTCTCGGGACTAGAGAGTCAGAAATCAGTTTCCAGTCCATCCAGACAAACTACTCAAACTTCTGAAATACAGCCCATCTTCTTCGTGGTCAAACATGCAGCTCAAAGTATTAAGTTCCACTTAAAAAATCATCAATATGAGATCACTTGTGGAATTAAAAGCCAGGATACCTAACTTCAGAAGACCAGAGAATATATAGCCATTCCTCAATTCTGACATTAAAAACAGAAAACTAAGGGGAAGGGGAAAAGGAGGTATAAAATCAAAGAACAAGATGATGGAATTAGAATAAAAAATACAAATGGTGTAATATTCCATACTGAGACAAAACCTTCAGAAAAGGTCATAAAACAAAATACAAGTATGTGCTATTTTAAGAAGCATGTCTACAGAAAGGCATTAAAAAAAATAAACTGCTGCATAAATCTTAACAACAAAGAGGTTGAAAGTTAAAGGAACATATCTGGGAACAGAGACTCCACTTTTGTCCTTATTCAAAATTGCCTTGGCTGTTTTGGCACTTTACATTTCCATACAGATTTTGGAATCCTCTGCTTGTCAATTTCACAGAAATAAACCTGCTGGGATTTTACTTAGAATTGAGTTTAACCTGCAGATCAATTTGAGAACACTGGCATCCTTACAATATTACTTTCTAATCCATGGAGTAGATATATCTTTCCATTCATTTCTTTCAAAAATGTTTTGTTGTTGTCAATGTAAAGGTTCTGCATATCTTTCAATGTATCTATTTTGAGCTATTTGATTTCTTATGCTATATTTTTTTATTTTTAATTTAAGTAACTTCTACATCAAACATGGGGCTCAAACTCACGACCCCCAGATCAAAGTCACACATTCTTCCGAAAGAGCTAGCCAGGCACCCCGTTGTATTTTTGAAATTCCTTTTTTTTTGTATTTAGAAACACGTAATTGATTTTTTTGCATATTGACTTTGTATTCTGGTACCTTGCTAAATCCATTTCATTCTAAGAGTTTGCATATTCTTTTGGATTATCAGTGTACACAGTCATGTTGTCAGCAAAAATATTTTTCCTTTATAATCCTTTTCTTGGTTTATCACACAGGCTTGGACCAGTATAATGATACATGGAGGTGTGGCAGTGGACATCTTTGGCTCAATCTTCATTTCATGGAGGAGGATTTCAGTATTTTTTCATTGAGAGGTTTACTATAGTGTTTTTGTCGATACCTTTTGTTACATTAAGGATGTGCCCTCCTATTTCTGGTTTTCAAAGTTTTTTTTTGTCTTAATCATGAATAGGTATTGAATTTTGTAGTGTTCTTTTGTGTATCTACCTAGATTTGATTACTTTTCATGTATTGAATCAATCTTGGTTTTTTACAGTAAACCCAGATTAGGTATGGTGCATTATCAATTTTTTTTTTTGCTAGATCTGATTTGCCTATTTTTTCCAGGAATTTTACATCTACTTTCAAAGGACAGTTCAGCCCCTGGTTTTCCTCTGTGATATCCTTGATGGGTTTTGGTCTTCAAAAGTGAATGGGGACCTGTTCCCTTATTCCATAGTCTCTGGAACTTCATGGAAGATTAGTGTGTAAGACATGAGTGATGTCCCTTTTTCTAACATTTTTTTGGTCTAAGGTCTACTAAGGTTTTATCAATTTTATTGATGCTTTCAAGGGAATGACTTTCTACTTCATTGATTTTCTTTCTTGGACATTTGTTTTCTATTTCATTGACTTTTGTTTTTTTTTTTTTTTAATTTTCCTCTTTTTTTGAATCTGCTATCCTGTTTCTGGACATAAAAACTTAGATCACTGACTTCAGCCTTTCTTTTTAACACGTGAATTAAAGTGAATTATCACTTTACCTGTATACCAAAGGTTTTGAGATGGTGTATCTTATCCATTTTTTTAACTTTGTGATTTCTTCTGTGATCCATGGGTTATTCAGAACTGTACCGCCTGTTTATTTTTAAAGTTAGGGATTTCCAGTTCTCTTTTTCCTAACTTAATCCCCGTGTTCACAGAACAATATTTTAATTAAAAAAAAAAAATTTTGAGGCCTGATGGTCCACTATGACCAATTTCAGTAAATGCTTCTGGCGTAATTAAAGAGGATATGCACACTGTTGATTTAGAGTACATTACTCTTTTTGTCAATTAAGTTAGGTTTGTTACTTGTGTTGTTCAACTCATGTCATATTAGTTTTTGAAATAAATGTATTAAAATATTTTTTAAAAAATTAAATTCCAGGGGCGCCTAGGTGGCTCAGTCGTTAAGTGTCTGCCTTCGGCTCAGGTCATGGTCCCAGGGTCCTGGGATCGAGCCCCGCATCGGGTTCCCTGCTCAGCGGGAAGCCTGCTTCTCCCTCTGCCACTCCCCCTGCTTGTGTTCCCTCTCTCACTGCATCTCTCTCTGTCAAATAAATAAAATCTTTAAAAAAAAAAAAATTAAATTCCACAGCATTCAGGAATTTCATTTCATTCTACACTTTCCTATTCCAAATGTTTTCTTTGGGCTTCTGACAGCAATACCTGTGTATATCGCCCCACCCCCCACCCCCCCTCAGCCTTTGAGCAACAGTAGTGAGCAAAGGAATGCTATATATAGACAGTAAGGAAGGCATGCTCTGAAGTCTACCAGTGCCTCTCCTTGCCCTGTTCCACCACTCAGTCATAGGCCCTCTGATGCCTTGGAAAAAAGCTGGAAGCAGAGGTTGGCTCTGTCCCGCTGAGTGCCAGAAACAGGCACGGAAACTCTTGGGATGTGTGCTAAGTCTTGAACCTCAGGAGGAAATGAATATTAAAGTCTGTGATAAAATGTTTCCAGCACTACCTCTTCACTTCAGGTCTCTCCCACACCATACTAAATTTTGGCCATGACAGCCAGGAGTGAGGTTCTGTTTCAGCAAAAGACATTTTATCAGATAAAGGGTACCACCCCAGCCTCCCAAACAGCTCTTATCCAGCAGCAGGACTCTTCCCAAAGGACCTAGCCACAGGGGAACCGTCATTGCCCTCTTGGCAGAACAGTGTGTTTGTGTCCAACAGATGGCAGAGGCAGGAGTGACAAGCATCATGTGACCAGAGTGCCTAGAGATCTCTATATTGACAAAATCAAATCTCCAGTTTAAAGGAAAAGTTATTTTTATAAAAACAGAAACAGGTTTTATTTCAATCCTGTTAGGGAGTAAGAGGGATGGAAAACAAAAAAATGAAGGGAGGGGTCTCTTTATACACACATGACATCAGGATCAACTACAAGGAATAGAATAATACCCATTTTCATCCCTCCCCCAACTCCTAGGTAGGGTCCAAGGCCAGCTGAGAATAGATGGAACAGGAATTAAGACACAGTATGGCACAGTAAAATGGCCAACGCACCGGAAGATGGAGAAGAGAATTTCCCAGGGAGCAAGGCCCTGGGCCTCAGCTGCTTCCCCAGTGGAGGGGGAATGAGAAAACTTTGGCTCAGCAGGAAGGCAGTTGGCAAAAATCAGAGATCCCTTAGCTGGACTCTCCAGATCACAAAACTACGGGCTGAGGGAAGTCCAGATGTCTATCCAGTCCATGGTGTTCTCTGCTTTCTCCAAGACCTCTTCTCTTCAGGCTTGAGACTGAGAGCTCACCTGGTTCTCTTCTTCATCTTGTAAGGCAGGGGAGTAAGTGCTTATTCTACCCTTCCTACATCTAGGCTACTTAATTACTATTTTCTCGGCTCCTGAGACAGAAGCCAACTAACAATGCCGGCCCCCTTTGTGAAAGTCGGCTTGAAAGAGCCCTTGGTTGGCAAATTTGCCTCTGCAAAGGTTTCTCTGAGCTTGCTCCTTACAGACAGAGCCTCCCCAGACTTGCTCGGAGATACCTTCATTTGTGTGAGATGTGGACAGGAAACTTTGTCTCTCTCTAGCATTGGACTAATAATCCCATCTTTGGAGATGGGGATAAGAGAGAGAGCGAGCAGGTGTTGGCAGGGGGAAGGATTGGGGGAAAGCAAGGCAGTTTACATTGTGTTACAGATTCGAATCTCTGGATTGTGAAGAATCATCTAGAGCTCCAAAGAAGGCAGGGGGATTCTCTGACTCAATATGAACAAGTGGAAGTGTTTTAGTGGCTACCCTGTAATTCCCACAGACCAACAGGGAATGTGTCAAAAAAAAAAAAAAAAAAAGATAGCAAAGCAGCAGCGTCAAACCCTCTATCTTAAATCTGAATAAAACGAACTCATTCAGCTAATACCACTTCAAGTACAATCGTGAACACAGATGGCGCTGCGGAAATTCATACTAAAGAATGGGATCAAGGAGCCTGTCATCTTGATCCCAGGCACCTTTAAAAGTCATCCAGAAAATCTCTCTGAGGACTGGAATTGAAGGTGAAGTCCATGCCGCTTTACCTCCCCCAATACAATACCCTTCCAGGACAGCCTGATGAATTAAGACGTCTGTTGAAGTTTAATAAGAGGGACGTGAAAAAGGGAAAAGCACTGAGATTTGGCAGAGCTAGCAGCTAGAGCCAGAAACAAGGTGAGGGTCCTTGTGGCATCCAGAACTGGGGGCAGAAGGACGGAAAGGGAAGGGAGAGAGGCAGCAGGGTCCTGTTGTCCTTTGGCTTTACCCTTCCCCTGCCTCCCATTCCTCCCCACAGTTCATGCAGCTACTGGCCTGCTAGAGGGGATGCAATGCCCAGACCAACTTTTTATTAAGCTTATGCAGCTAACAGACTTGTAAACAGTGCCAATTGACAAAGTTTTGCTGAGTATTACAGCTGGTGTCCACTAAACACACCTCTCTCTGACATCAAAAACAAAAGACCCAAGTAAACAAATACTGAGAGAGAGGATGAAGAGACACGTCTTGAGTCTTCCAGGAAGGCAAAATAAAAGACCGCCACCCGGCTTGGTCCCAGGCGTTGCGCATGCCTCGCGTGCTAACACGGTCCCGGTCCCGGTCACGGCCGTGGCCACGGCCCCGCCCTGCCCGCAGCCGGTCCGGGTTGGGGAGAATGGCCATCGCGGGCATGCTGCAGACACAGCATTTGCTGGTGTGGACACCCTCCTGGAGCTGTGGTGGCAGGCTGCTGTGTCAGGAGCCCATCTCCTGGGAGGAGCGGAGGGAGCCCAGGTCCCAGAGGCAGCCCATTCACCCCAGCGGGGCGACCTTGCCCCTGTTCTCCAGTGCACTTCAGCATTGAGGTTGTCTATTCCTGGTCGGCGGTAAAACCTGAGCTGTTTTCCTCGAGGATTCCCCCACCCCCAACTCGGGGGAGTGGTAGAAGGGGGCAGGGGAGGATCACTGAGGGGGCAGGGGGATCCCCCGAGGATCGGTGACCTGGCCCTCTTGCAGGTTCTTCACCAGTTGTGCAAGCCAGCGTTTCGTGGTGGTGTCATCTTTTAGCACCTGGGCGAAGGTCGTGTCCTTCAGCTGGTCAGGGAGGCACTGCCTGAGCGCTTCACGTGCCCTATGTCAGAGACAAACAAGCCAACCGGGGAGACCAGCAAATAAACCCACATTTGGGAGACAGGGAAGAGGCCCTTTCTTAGACATAAATATACAGAATCCCAGGAATATGAGGTTCAGTCAAGTTATCTTAAGAATCCATAACAATTCTTTAAAACTTGTCTTAGCCATGGGCTCAGAGATCTCCATGATCTGTCATCTGTGAACATTTTCAGGACGATATCTCAATGTGGAATTCCAAGACACCGCAAAATGGAATGGAATGGTGCAACAGTTAAATTCAAACTGCTTTCTGATTTATTACAGTAAATACTGTCAATATGTTCATGGTAAAAATAGATGGGTTATAGTAAACGGAATATTTCCAAAATCAGTACATGAACAGGGAAAGATGACCTGACTCACAGTATGATAAATTAGTGAACTTTAATTCTAAATTAATATAAATTTGTATCTTTCCAAAAACTACCTCAGTTTCTTTTCTTCCTTTTTTTTTTTTTTTTTAAGTAAGCTCTATGCCCGATGTGGGGCTCGAACACATGACTCTGAAATCAAGTCACATGCTCTACTGACTGAGCCCACCAGATGCCCCTGCTTCAGTTTTATAGTTAAAATGCTTAATAAGAGATGAGAAGTAAAAACACAAGTATGGTAGCAACATTATCAGATGAACTTTCAAATGTTTCATTTTCTTTAAAAGATGTGCAGTAGAAAGTCAAATCTGAAAACCTCAAAACGGTAAATGTTAATGGTTTATAAAGCTGTTTTAAATAAAGTTACAGCTTTTGTACTCAGACTAGTTTAAAGAAACATATTTTCAAACTGATGAAAACAGGAACCACTGAAGAACAGGACGAAATAGTTGAAGAAATAGCTAGGGCTTGAATAACCTCAGTGGCAGAAGGCTGCGTTCACATTAAATTGAGTTATCCCCATTCCTAGGAACATAGAAATTGCCCCATTATGTGGTTTAGCAGAACCTGAGCAAGTGGCTTTCAGCATGAATTATGGATTTACAAAGCAAAAGGTCAAACATTTCTAAAATGCATTATATCTACAATATATGATTTCTGACAGAAAGATTATGAACATAGGGAGATAAGAAAATTAGCTCAAGAACTTTAGAGGAATCAGAGAACAGAAAATATAATTCAAGCGCCCTCTGGGATCCATTCCTTTCTTAAGAGATCTTTGAAAATATACTTCTCTTTCTGACCACCTGGGGTAGCAACAGAAAGCTCAAACCACAGGAGTAATGTATCATAAGGTTCCCTGGGAACTGTCTGGACTCCCTGGAATGCCAGAGGAGGGCACAGAGTTACAGAGATAAAACTCTGATGGATTTTTTTAAAGTAAGCTCTATGCCCAATGTGGGGCTTGAACTCATGATTCTGAGATCAAGAGTCACACGCCCTACTGACTGAGACAGCCAGGCGCCCCCAAAACTCTGATGGATTTTAAAATTTAGCACTTCAGATTTTAAAAGGATTTAATCAAGTTCTGTCAGACTAATTATCGTTATATCCCTTCTCTACCCTAAAGATACAGGAGCTATGCCATGAAATGGGGCAACTATTCACCCGAGTATTTCCCCAAAGTCCTATAAATCCTGGTAAATGTTTACCTGGGATTATCTGAGAGTCGAAGGTAACACCTCACTACGTGCTTCAGCAGACGGGCGGAAGGCTCTTTGGATAGCTGCAGGACCATCTTACCCTGTTTTCCCCCAAAATGGGTCGGGGTAGGAAAAAACACACAAACACAAAATAATCCTAGTTGACATCAGAGATCAGAGATTTTAAGAATCATTATACAAGGTTCCAGGAAGCTGTTCAGTGTCAGCTGCAAAGGGACTAAGCTGTGTGATCAGAAGTAACTATAATGGGAGTGGACGAAAGAACTCACCAAGATCATGGCAACGTGGGAGAAACGCTCGTATGTCTGACATATATATGCCAAACCTGTGTCATCTAAGAGGATCTTCTGGAGGATGAATGTGGCAACCTGGAGTAAAAACAAAAATGGAGTCCAAAACGTTGCTCAGACTTGTCTTCCAATGATCGATTCATCTTCCAGGAAGAATTGTGAATCAGAAAATGAAGCAGAGACCCTGACAATATGCACAACATAGTCAACAAGATATGCACAGTTTAATCAAAATAATTAGCATTACCATAGTGAATACTTACTATGTGCCAAGATATTTCCTAAAGGCATAACATGCTTTTTCTTCTCTTCTTTTTTTTTAAAGATTTTATTTCTTTGACAGAGAGAGAGACACAGCGAGAGAGGAAACACAAGCAGGGGGAGTGGGAGAGGGAGAAGCAGGCTTCCCGCGGAGCAGGGAGCCCGATGCGGGGCTCAATCCCAGGACCCTGAGATCATGACCTGAG